TTGGATTCCTCGAATTCCGGCCTACTATCAATATTAGCAGACTTTCCTGACCGCGGCTGGCCATCAGAGTCGTTCGGCTCTGAGGCGGAGTCAGCCTTTTGGCCCCCATCAGATTTCTCGTTGTCTGGGGCTTCATTAGCCGAAACGTCTGAGCCTCTCGGCTTTTTGGCGTTTCGGTCCCGGTGCTTTTCCTCCCCATCGCCACGGTCGCCTCGGCGAGACGTGGATGGCTTGAGGTGATTGCATCGGCGGGCTTCTTCTTGACTGCCCTTTATTTTCTCGGAGCGTCCCTCGTCTGAAACGTATATCATGATTTGATGATACGTGGAGACGACTCCTTGAATGCCGTGAATGAGGGGTCTCCCCATGATCACGTTGTATGCAGATGGAGCATCTACGACCAAAAATTCGGCCATGATATTCCTAGCTGCTCGGCCTTCGCCGATGGTGACAGGAAGTGTAATCTTCCCGTCAGGATACGAGGAAGAGCCGTTGAATCCAGACACCGGGTAGGGTGCGGGGGCCAGGTGCTCGGCTCCCATCCTCAGCTGGTCGAACGCTCCTCGGAAGAGGATGTTCGCCCCGCTACCGCCGTCGACGAGGGTCCGCCAGACGTTGCGGTTGGCGATGCCCAGAATGATTACTAGTGGGTCATCGTGGGGGTATACCACCCCCTCACAGTCTTCGGCTGTGAACAGGATGTTCGGCGCCGGTGACTGGGACTGCCGAAGCTCAGCCTGATGAATCTGATGGGTTAGACCCCTCAGTTGGCGTTTGGCTGTGCCTCGCGAGATTCCCCCGGAAATAACTAGGATGTCGAGGGACTCCTTGCCCTGAGGTCCCTTATCCTTCTTCCGAGCGAAGTTGAGGTCCTGCCGAGAATCTTTTTCAGCTTTTTTCTCCTCGCGCCTGTCCGCGAGGTATTGGCTCAGGTACCCCTTGCGGACCAGATCCTCAATCTGGTCCTTCAGCTGGACGCAGTCCTCGGTGCGATGTCCGGGTGAGTCATGGAACTCGCACCACTGGTCCTTTCCCCTCGTCTGATGCCAGGGAGGCAACGGACGAGGTTTTTTGAATCTCCCCTCGTCCTTCGTCGTGCTGAAAATCTTAGCACGGGGAAGGGAGAGTGGAGCGTATGAATCGTACCTTCCCGTGTAGGGAAAGTGTCTTTCCTTCTTCGGCTCGGCAGCAGAGGACGGTTCTGAGGCCTTAGCCTTCCCTTTCCTCTGCGCCGAGACTTCGGGCTGCTGCCCTTTCGGCTTGTCAATTCTCGGACGAGACTGAGACCTGGATCTGTTCCACTCCTCGGCTCGGATGAACCTGTCCGATGCTTCCAAGGCTTCCTCCAGGGTCTGCGGGGGATGCATGACCATGAAGTCCAGGAACTTTCCAGCTTGGAGGCCGTTCCGTAGCGCGAACACGGCCAGGCCTTGATCCAGGCTTGTGATTCCGGATGACTCGTTGCTGAAGTGAGTCAGATAGTCGCGGAGGCTCTCGTCCTCCGCCTGCTGCAGACTCATTAGCTCTGCAGTGGTCTTCTCTCGGCGGTTGGCCGTAGAGAATTTGCTCTTGAACTTGTTGGAGAGGTCGTTCCAACCGGTTATGGAGCCTTCCTTGAGCCCTTTGGTGATCCAGGATTGGGCAACACCTTTGAGGGTCGTAGAAAAGTATTTACACCAGGTAGCCTCAGACCTCGGGTTCAGATACATGTGCCCCTCGTAAGAGGCAATGTGATCCTTAGGATCTGAGGTACCATCGTAAGTAATATGTGCCGGGATTTTGACCGTTGGCACATGCTCTTCCAGAATCCACTTCTGGAAGGGCGAGTTCGATGGAACCATGACCGCCTTCCCCTTGTACCCGGCCTCAGGGACCTCGCTCCCTCCTCTCTCAGAGGTGGAAGTGGTTTTCGTCCCCGGCTGAGACAAGGTTGGGTGGGGTCCGGTATCCTCTGGGAAGGTGAGGCGGCTATGCACACTCACCTCCCTCGAACCCAAGCGTTCGTGAACGCTTTGGCGGGCGAATTCCGGGTCCTTGGAGGGCCCCATGGAATTCTGAGCTTCAGAGTGGTCAGAGGGTTGAGGGTTCCTCCTCCTCTCCTTACTGGAGTTTCGGGTGTCCCCTCGCCACCTCTGGCCGAGCTCTCTATGTGGTGGAACTTGTCCACCATCATCCTGACCGATCCTCCTTTTCAGGTTTCTCGGCTGGTGATCATCAGGCATCTGGATTGGAGCCCCTTGAGCTTTAAGGAACTCCATGCAGATGGCCACTGCTCTGGCCACTTCCTCGGTGGAGGGTCCGGAGGGAGGAGTCTCCCGCGGATGTGACCTGGATTGCACGCTATGGCGCGGCGGGGAGTTCCTCGCTCCTGAGCCACTCGGTCTCGGGGATGGCCCCGGCTGCCGAGTGTGGTGCGAGGTGTTCTCCTCCTGGAGGCTAGGACCTCTTGAGGCTTCCCTTTCCGGAGAAATGGGGGCCTCCGATTCGGAAGAGGCTTGCTCCGGGGAGGGATAAACCGGCTGGCGTTCCCTCACCGTAATCCGGCCTCCTCCCTTCTTAGCCTTCTTGGAACTCTTTCCACTCTTAGTCATGGCGACTGCCGGAGTGTTTGATGACTGACGCGAAATTTAGTAGCGTTCCCCACAGACGGCGCCAAATTGTTTCGGATGAAAACAATCGAATCTCGGAAGATCCTTTTATCTTGAGGGAACTTGGTCTCGGTCCGAACGACGCAGGAGCCGAGGGTTTCCTGCACAACAAATACACGTAAACTAGCCTCGGGGGGACGCCGAGGAAGGCCCCTCCGATGCTTAAGTCAGTATATTAGAGAGAGAAAGCTGTGCAAGAGTTTAGTTGCTTGAGGCTTTTTTGTCTTACCAAGAATTGACCAAATTGTTGGCTTTTATACCTTGGCTAATGAAGGAGGCGGATTGGGCCCGGAAGTCAGTTGGGCTGGGCCAAGCTGATTGGGCCGTTGACTGACCTTGACATGGCTTTGAGGATGTTGATTTTTGACTTTAGCACATTTGGAGAGTTGAACCTTAACCTTGGGCTTTTAATTGGATCATTCAGTGACCAGGCCCAATTGGACTAAATTGGACCCAAACACTTTTTATGTAGCTTGATTAATTTTGTTCATGTTCCTATGATATTTATAGGCCAAACTACTTGCCACTTCTACAATTTATTATTGTTTGTGTACTTGTGAATTTCATGATCCACCCGACACGGCTACCAAATATCATGTTCCTTTTATATAAGTCAAAACTCAAAAAGTCAAAAGTCTTTATTTATGCTCAATGTCAAAATAAAAAAAAAAAAAAAAAAAAAAGGTTAGCATTGTACCCCTTCGATCCTTTCTGTTCATATTACTTTGATTTTATTTTCTTTTATACCTCATAATAAATTAAAATTCCACAATTATGCTACTTTTTATTTTTATTTATTTATTTTTTATCAAAATTCTTTACATACCATGGCCACCGTCCACATCATCCTTTTTAAAGTTTTTTTTTTTCTTTTTTTTTCAAGAACAAAACCGCTAATTTCGTTTGGCATTGATTTGGTTTTCTGTTTTTTGATTTTTTATTTTTCAAAATCATATGATATATGGCATATAATGAATCAAAAATTAGTCAAGCTTATTAAGGTCATGATAATTTTGAAACCGACAACAAAAAATTGAAAACACCTTTATCATGTTTTCAATTTTTGGTTTTTTATTTTTTATTTTTTTTTAAAAAAAAAAAGAAAAAGAAAACTGAAAACAAAAAATGATGCTAAACAATCCATCAATTAGTGATTTTACCTTATATAAAACCGCTAATTGAATTCGCAATTTTACCTTATATAAAACTAAAATAAGATATAGAAAAATAAAAAATAATTTATCAAAAAGGAAAAAAAAAAAAAAAGCATAAACTCAAGTCTTCTTCTAGCTGTTGCTCTGTATCAAGCCTTTTCTCTCTCATTTAATTTACTTCCCAATTTATCATCTCCCAATTTTAAAATTAAATTCATGAAATATTTCTTCGACTCTTTTTAATTTTCTCTTCGAGTCGCAAAAAAGGTTCAAGATGACATTGAAAATATCGCAACAATGAAGAATGAATAGGACTATAAGAGGTTATTATAGTATGAATAATAGTACTCGTAGTACTTTTGAATCATTTTTAATACGAAGTACTACGTATGAATAGCTGTACTTTGAATCATTTTTAAGGAAAATATAGTATGAACTGGGAAGTTTTTATACCAATAAAGAGTACCTTTTAAGGAATCTCATATACTACTTGGTACTTAAGCATGATAGTTGACTCTACCTCAATAACAATAAGGGGTTGGGGTGTTTAACTCTATTCTCTCAAGCCCTTATTATTTGATCCCCCATAAATGCTAAATGCAACCATTAGTTCATAAATCATGTGGTTCACTTAATTACATAATTAATAAAAATATGAGTACGTATGTGATTAAAAAAGAAAAAGTTAAATTCTAGCCTTCTAGTTTTTCTTATTTCCATTGGTAGCCACTTTTTATATAAATTATCTTTGGTAACTTTCTATTATTTAAAATTTACTTTTGTAACCTAATAAAATTTAAAACGTTAAAAAGGTTGTTAAGTTTAATGACATATGGTTTATAAACTAATTTTTAAAAAGGTTGTTAAAAAGGTTTTACTAATTTTTTAAAAATTTTGGCTTATTTTTGGCTTATAATGAAATTTTAATTATTATTATTATTATTATTATTATTAATTATTACTATTATTATTATTATTATTATTATTATTATTATTATTGATTTATGATGTATCGGATTTGATTTTATCGTTTGTTTGAACTAGCAACATTGTCTATGTTATTAAATAGCACAAACAATAAACGATAATAATTAAAATTTCATTATAAGCTCCAAATCATAAACGTTTACAAATATAATTTTCATTACAAGACGTTCCAAATTTCCTTCGCTATATTAAGTTGTACTTCTTTCATTACAGCTTTACGATTCTCGTTAAACAAATCATAATCTGCTCTTGGTTCGATTTCTATACCACTATCAATGGGTATATCCAACTCATGTAATCGAATAAAATTGTGAAGTGTGAATGTAGCAACCATAATTGCCAATTGATGTTTAGTGTCCATTTGTGGCATCATTGTCAATATTTTCCATCGACCTTTTAATTATCCAAAACATCTCTCGATCGTTGTTCGAAGTGAAGAGTGAAGATAATTAAAAAGTTCAAGCATGCCTTGTGGTGGTGGACCATTTCGAAATTCAGGCAAATGGGTTCTAATATCTTTTTCTTTTATTGGACTCAAATATCCAACGGTATTCGGATATCCAGAATCTACTAGATAATATTTTCCTGTTACAAAATAAAGTTATACAGCATATTAGTATAGTGTCATGTATGGAGTAAAAACATACACTATTTTAAATTATACCTGGAGGTGGATGGGGAAATCGAAATTCTGATACAGTTAAGCAATGGTTCCATACAGTAATATCATGAGCACTACCTTCAAATCCAACGTTGATAAACGTAAAAAGCCTATCAAAGGAACAGGCAGCCAAAACATTCCATGTTTTTTTTCCTTTACGCCCTCGATGTGCCACACCATCATCATCGCTTACAACTGCATTTATATGAGTCCCATCCAATGCTCCAACACAATCCTAATAGTTCATTAACATTTAGGATACATTTTATAAGTGATTATATATTGCAAATGCATAAAATAATATAATGACAATGCAAGATAATAATAATGTTTCTTAATACCTTGAAATATGGCCAATATTTTGTGCTGTCACCTATTTTTTTTGGCACCACGGTCAAACTTTGGTATGGTCTTATGATCTCGGTAGACAAATGAACCATTGCTTCCAGTACTTGTTTAAAGTACAACCCAATTGTTGCAATAGAGTGCTGAAATCGACCGGCAGCATCACGATAAGAACTGCCTTTAGCCATGATATATAAAAATATTCCTAATTGCTCAGCCACAGATCGATATGTAACGACCATCCGATAATAAATTTTTATTTTTCATGCAAGTAACAAGATCCACAAATATGTTTCTATCTAATCTCAATTGGTCTTTGCATAAATCAGGATGGACATGTAGTAGTCTGTTTATGTATTCGCTACCAGATTCTCCACCTAACCTTAGAGGCAATCTCTCAATTGGTGTAAGAAGTCTCTTTAGCTCTTCCCATGCGATAATTGTCAAGCACATTGGAAGTGTGTTATCCATTCTACAACATAAACCAACATTATTCAATTTGTAAAATAAAATCAACAATGACTTTTAAAATAAAGGCTAAAGCTTCTTAATTAGATCACCTGAAAAGCAATAGCATCATATGAAGCTACTTAAACCTAAAGGTAAGAAAAAATAGTAGCTTCATATGTGGAACCTTAATTAAAACTAGAACAACATCAAATAACTAACAAAGAACATATGAAAGTGCAAAACAAGTCATAGGAAAACATAAGACAAAGTTAACTTCAAATACTCATCACCCCAAAAAACCTAATTAAGGACCACCCAATGTTGGATCTTGAAATGCTGTCTTCAAATACATGATCTTCTGATCATCACTTCGCAGACCTAAGAAGAAATCTGCATTATCGCCATGATGAAGAAAATTCATACATTGGTAAATAAATCCTTCTCCTTGTTGAACAATAGCCTCAATATTGTATAGAGCATCTGAGACATCTTTATACTTATTACCACTCCCTTGCTTACAATTAGTTTCAATAGACATTTTCAACAACTCTATACAAGAGTCAATGTTACTACTCTTGTTTTTTTTAAGTTTACTAGTACACCCATCACTCTTACGTTTCCCCAACGAGGTACTTTTAGGAGGTGAAATGCTCTGTTCATCATCCGAATTATTTATTCCCCTACTTATTTCCATATCTCCTATATTTTCATCACTGTCCTCGGACCTTTCCTCATTTTCTTTACCAATTTGTTCCCCACCTAATCTGGGAGAAAAACTCCATTTGCTAGTAGCAAAAGACCCTGAAAAAAGTGCCCGTAACTTCTCTAGATGAGGCAATGGTCTCCTTAGGAATCTCGCTGGCATACCTTTATGTTTCTGCATAAATGCACAAAATTTCGATTAAATAAATTTTAAAATAAACTAGCATTGTAGAGGTCATAATGCAACAAAATGGATAAACAAAATGTCGTACCTTTACAAATATATTCCACCTATCATCTTGTTCAACTACAGGACAACCAGTAATAGGATCAAATGTAAGACCGGTCCAATTGAGTTCCATTTCATTCCAAATTTTGAACCTTTTCCTTAAATCATCCCAATGATTTCTTGCTTGTTTAATATTGAAATTCTTCCCACTTTTAACGTTCAAAGTACTCACTATTCTATCCCAATTAACCTTTGATAGTCCACCTGCTTTCATCTCCAAGCATATGTCCAAAAAAAATTATGTATTGTCATCAGACCATACTACCCTACCAGCCATTACACTATGATCAAGAGCACTTTAAAATTATTAGTTTCATGCATGAAAGATATAAATAATCAAAATAAGTACATAAATATATACGTTACGTTTCTTCTTCTTCAAAAAATATATACGTACTAATTCTAACATCTATTGAGAAACTAGGACCAAACTAGGACCACAGAACATGGATGTATTTGATCTAGAAAAGAACTTTGCATTTTTTGCTGCATATCATTGCATATCATAGCAACCCAGTTAATATTTTTATTCATATGTTGTTTGTTTGGCCAATTTTTATACTGGGCTATGCTACTATACTTTGTACCCATGCCGTTTTTCACTAATTTTGCACTAATTTTCACTATAACCCAACTCTAAACAATTAAACCCATAAAGTAAACAATTCACAAATCACAAGTATTGTAAAAGTTAAATTACAAGGTGACAATCGATAGATAATTTAAAAAAAAAATGATATATCATCTTATCACCTACTATACAATCATCAATTTGACTAAACACTTATATAGCCTATAATCCAAAAAACTGTCCTTTTTTTAAGGTATTGTCTATGCAAAGTGTATTAATTAATTAATTGTAATAAAGTTAAAGTAATGCTTTGCATACGTCAGTAGGTATGTATTTGTTTAAGTTTGATTCCCTTTTTAATTATTCCTTAAAGCATGAGCAAGTGACCATTATTATTATTGCACTCCGTATTATTTATGAATTATGATATTGTGTCAAAAAAATGAAAAAAAAAAAACTATTAGTTGGTGAGTTCCTAAATTTAGAAATATTATTAGTTTGAAAGTTACAGATCCAGTAATCTGGTCCACTTTACCAACTCGTACTTCATATTTTTGTCATAATTTCTCATCATCAAGCTAATAGGGAACATTTATATATAATGTTCAGGATTTTATTTTTATTTTTATTTTATTTTTTTTGACTTTAAATGCAATCATTAGTAATATCTATATATATGAGGTGATTGGACTATAGAGAAACACAAGTTTAAATGGTCCCTATGGACAAAAAATTTCATATATTTACGATTAGTATATTATATTGACCTTTACGGAGTAATTAAGGCTTAACGATAGTCAATTCAAAAACGACATTTAACTAAGCAATTGGATCAATTTGACATAAAATCGCATGAAATTAGATGATTCTCATTGAACTTTAAAATGCTTTAACATGACTCTGAGTCATTATAAACCACGTCGGCCTACCAGCAAAAGAAATTTTGTAGGGAAGTTTTATTGCTCGGTCGTTTATGGCCAGGTTTACCAATTACCATATTGATCTTTCAACAAAATAGAGATTTATTAAAGAAAACAACAAAAGTATCATATCTAATTATATACGTAGTATATTTTTTGAGTTATACTACTACACTACATTGTGATGTGACTATTTATGTTGTTATTATTACTACAACTTCCATTCTTCTTTTTTTATTATTCTCCACTTAAAATAAAGAAAAGGTCATCATTTTTAAGAATAACAATGACAAAATAATAATTGAAAATTAAATAATTCCTCCTTAGATAAAAACTCAATTGAAACAATAATATACTCCGTAACTAGTAAATTACCCGATGAAGTGATGATTGTAAACGAAATTATGAAAATATAATAAAAAAAACAACAAAGAGTTAAGGTATTTACCTGTCGACGGGATTGTATACGAGCAAGCTACTACAATGACCAACAAAAGGACAAAATTTGGGAGAGATTGATGTGTTGTAGGTAAGAGATATTGCAATACGAAAATATATATATATACACAAAAAAAAAACTGTAGTATCAAACTACCAATACACCCAATTAATATTTTTGTCAGTCAACCCAATTAGAGAAAACCCAATTCAGATTTCTAGAAAAATGAAGTGTAAAGCACCAACAATGGTGAAGAGTGTGAAGTAAACACAAAAAACAGAGAGGAGAGAGAAAGTGTGAGTACAGAAAAAGAGATAGAAGGTTGTTATGGGAAAAAGGAAAGCAAGGTCAAAAGCTGGAAAAGTGAAAAATTAAAGAACAGAAAACAAAGTAAAAAAAAAAATTAGGGGGCCAATAATATTAATGGAGGAAAAGTGGTTACAATTGCTCGGGCGGTTTTCCACAATTTTTGAGACATTTGTTCGATTTATAAGGTCCTCTGTAATCACAATGGTCACTGCAACCACCACTTGGCGAACTTAAATTTGGCCAATAGCGTCCTATGCTTTGCCCATTCACCCATGCCTCACCTTTTCCCATCCCTGTGAAGTCCAGAGCAAGTGGGTCATTCCCATCAGGAGCATTGAACGATGTATTTATACACCCATTTCATTGAACGATGTATTCCCATTCACCCATTGAACGATGTATTCCCATCAAGTGGGTCTTCTTGAGGCAACCATAATTGTATTTATACACCCATTTCATATAGAGGAGCCTAACGCGAACATGGGTCGGAAGTAGAGCTGTCAATTCGGGTAAACATGTCGGGTAAGTGTAGGTCGGATTAATTCGGGTCGGATCATTTCGGGTTGACTACATTAATGCACATGCACCTACAAAGTAGTAGTATTCGTAAATAGTAATTACTAAATTTGAATTAAGAATGCACATGCATCCAAAAAGTAGTGGTATTCATAAATTTTCATTGGTTTTTTTGAGACGTAAATTATAATACATTTGATAATAGAGAATTTTTTTGAAAATATTTGAATAAGCTTAAATAGGAAAATAACTCATAGAATTAGGGAAAGAAAAAAAAATGACGTAATCCTAGATTGCTAGTTAATTTCGGGTCAATAACAAGTCGGGTTGATTTCAGGTCGGGTTAATGATAGATTGGGTTGAATTCGGGTCGGGCTAGTAATAGGTCGGGTTAAATTCGGGTCGGGTTAGTAATAAGTCAGGTTAAATTCCGGTCGGGTTAGGAATAGGTCGGGTTGAATTCAGGTCGGGTTAAATTCGGGTTTTGATGGGTTAAAACGGGTCAATGTGTCATTCCCACACAACCATACACGCATGAATAAAAAAAAGGTTCAATAGAGGAACAAATGAATAAAAAAACACTTAAACGCCCTAAACAAGTTAAATATAAAAGCTTAAATAAAAAAAGGAAAATGAAATCTAATAATCACACCTTTGCTCCATCTTCCAGAAACAATCTCACCTTTTGAAATTTTAGAAACAATTCCATTAACAATAATGATATTATTATTATTTAATAATAATAATATAATATAATATAATATAATATAATAGTAATAATAATAGTAATAATAATAATATAATATAATATAATATAATATAATAATAATATAATATAATATAATAATAATAATATAATAATAATATAATAATAATAATATAATATCATAGTAATATAATATCATATAATAATAATAATATAATATAATATAAATTAAATGATCATAATATAATAATAATAATAATAATAATAATAATAATAATGATAATAATAATAATGATAATAATAATAATAACAATAATAATTAAACATTAATATTGATTAACATTAAAAGTAGAATATTGAAATAATTAAAATAAGGTCAAATAAAAAAAAATAAGTTCAGATCAGATCAGATCAGAAAAAATAAGTTCAGATCAGAAAAAATAAGTTCAGATCAGATCAAATCAGCTAAAATCAGGTGAACTAAACAGCCTCTTATTGTGGGATAAGATGGTAAAAAAATAGACTATGCCTAAATAGAATTAAAATTAAGTGAGTACGAAGTAGAACAAAAAATAACGAACTAATAGAGGGAGTATAAGATAAGATCTAACATTTTGAAAAAAAAAAAAAAAAGGATACATTTTGTGAATAGTAGAATACATAGAAAATGGTGTCTTTTAAATTTGAGATTAAATATAAATTATAAAAACTCAATTAACGTAAGAGCCTATTCTAGCTTTTCACCTTGAAAAATTACTCGTACTCGTATTCGGTAAAAATAAGTTAAGTTCAGCTAAAATTAAATTTAACAAAATAAGTTAAGTACAATAGAAATCAAATCAGTAACTTTAAGAACAAAATACACTGTAATAAGAGAGAACAGTGGTTTAACATTTTTAATCTTCCGTCTTGCTAAAATGCCACAAATAACCTTGCTTGTTTGACTAAAAATTTATTATTAGGTCTTAGCTTGGCAAATCCTAAATCAAAATGCTTTTTTTTTTTTAATTTTTTATTATTTAATTCATTAATAGAAAGTTATACAACATCTTCTACAAACGAAATTCGACTTTAACAAATACGAAGCATCTAGGCCATCTGCTAATGTAAAACAGAATTGTTAAAAACTGACAAGTCATGAAAACAATCCAAAGAAAACTCCCATTGTTTTTTTAAAAGTGCTGACTGTGCATGTGTGCTAATTCAGAAATTTGACCAATTTTTTTAGGAGCCAAAATCTATGAACAACTCAGTACCATTCTTTAATTACCACTTTCCTACAAAACAAACTCACAAACATCTCTTCTATTCTCTTCCTCCATCAATGGCGTCCTCACTTTTACTATCACTCCCCTTTCTCTCTCCTCATCCTCGAAACCCTAAACCCCCAATTTCCATTTCGAAACCCTTAATTTCTCTTTCCTCTCCCTCAATTCCCCACAAATTCAGTATCCCAATCCACGTCACCCCAAAACCTCTGCAATTCCGACATCGGAGTCGGAGGTTACTTGTCGGGAATTCCATCGGAGGATCCGATGAAGATTCCGATGATGTTCTTGTCGGAGAAGATGCCGCAGTTTTCGAGCTGAGCAACCAGAAGCTTACTTCTTGGGTTTACTTCACTGTAATTTTGGGTGTTGTGTTGTTCGCCCTTAATTATCTTTGGATTGATAATTCTACTGGGTTTGGCAAGTATTTCATTGATGCTCTTGAGAGTGTCTTCCAAAGCCCTGAGGTGAAAATTTCTTGTCTTTCAACTTATATTAATATCATACCAAGTATTATATATGTCGAATTATTCATTTTAATGTATAGTTAGTCATGATTATGTGATATACTGATATACATTTTGAGCACCATCTTAGATATCTCCTGTATTTTAGTGCTGTATTAGTTTAGTTTAATTATGTTTTAGATGAAATTTGAGTAATATTGTTGATACTATGTTAGCTAAAAACTGATTAGGAAATTTTCTTATTTTGGGAAGTTATGCTGAAATGAGGTGGAATTTTGACAAAATCAATCACGTTGTACAGATAAGAGTTTGGTATCAAATGTGTGTTTCGCTCTTTGTTACTCGGACTCTTCAATTTCAGTATTGGAAACAAATCCGATGCTCTAAATCTCTAAATGAATATGTATCAATGATTGTTATTTGTAACAAGTCCGGCAATGTTCGAAGAGTTGGAGTGAGTTGATGTTGCCATGGGTAATAAAATTTTGGGGAAGTATATATTCCGTAAGATATAGCAGCTTACCTGCAGAACAAAATCTTGTAGATTTGGGGACTTAAACTGATATTAGTAAAGAGTGGTCCTAAAGAAGCAGTAATGTAGCTTCCGTGGTAATACAAAGTTAATATCATAGTGCTTGTAAGTCTTTGAGGTTTTATTTTGAAAGTTATTTTCCTGAAAAGGCTGGAGGCAGCATACCTTTTCATGTTGATGTGTGTCATACTTATGTACTTTGCATTCAAGCTCAATTATAAGTTTATTTAGATTTGAGAACTCTAGGGCTAATGTAGCATGAACTGCTACAAATATGGAAATCTTCAACAAGGAATTGTGTTTTCAGTATGATGTAGTTAGGGTGTTTGGTCCTGTGATTATACTTGTACATATTTAGTACTTGTTTTACTTGTTTGATATATGTTTATGTTGATGGCACCTTCAAGTCTTCAACCCTTCATTCTGAGCAAGTGAGCATCAAAATGCCTAATCTTTCAATAATCTTGTACAGGTCGTGCTGCTGAGCCTCATAGTCATTTTTGCTTCTGTTCATAGTGGATTGGCTAGTTTTAGGAATGTGGGTGAGAAAATTATAGGGGAACGTGCCTTCCGTATCCTATTTGCAGGAGTATCACTTCCATTAGCTGTTAGCACTGTGGTGAGATTTGCCTTTCTATCATTTAAAAGTGACCTTTTTTTTCAATTTATCTCTTGCATTTTTCTGTGTCAATGACTCATTTGCGGTGGAAAAAGCTACAGCAATTCTCGCCACCCCCCCCCCCCCCACCCCCCAAAAAAAACAAGAAATTAGTTCATAATCTACATTGACATCTTGATTGAATCTCTTTATTAGGTTTATTTCATAAACCACAGATATGACGGGATACAATTATGGCAGCTCCAAAGTGTTCCTGGAGTACATCAGCTTGTGTGGTTATCTTCTTTCATCTCCTTCCTTTTCCTCTATCCTTCAACTTTTAATTTGCTGGAAGTAGCAGCAGTTGACAAGCCCAAATTGCACCTTTGGGAAACAGGAATCATGAGAATTACTCGCCATCCACAGGTATATATCATTTTTCTCCGTTGCTGATGAAGATTACTGTTATTTTTTATTTAATTCTATCGCTGGTCTTCATTGCTATTTTGGTTTTTGAAATAACTGTTTGTTTCTATGTATTAAATGAAGATGTACTTTCTAAACATTTCTCTCTTTAGGATACTGCTTTCTAGAATTTAGAGCTTCCAAATGGGGTAAAATATTTAACTATCATCTTTTTGGTTTTGTTTTGGTTTTTTTTTTTCCCCCTGCATATATCTGTTTTCATCATCATGCCATTGTCGCTTTAAGATGGTGCTCAGGAAAATTAATAGAGTTCCAGAAAATTTGGAACCATATCATCTCTTTTTCCTTGTAAGCTGTCAAAATAAACATTTTTTTATTACCAAAAATGTTTTCAACCTGGTCATAAATGAAGGGTTGCATGACGTGGCAGGAGAAGGTACATCAATAGGTGCCATTCTGTTGCAAATGCTTTAAAACCTCCTCTTCATATGTTTACTAGCCTCTTCTCGTATATGTCTAAATTTGAACCAATCATGCAAGTCTTACACTTTCCATCTCCGTCTACTAATATCCACATCTTGTGCCCCTTTTCACCTTTATTTATTGGTTGCATATGAGCTTGAAAGGGACTGACTAGTCTGTTTTATATATAGATGGTTGGACAGGCAATCTGGTGTCTGGCTCACACTGTTTGGATTGGGAACTCTGTGGCAGTTGCTGCCTCCATTGGCTTGATTGGACATCATTTATTTGGCGTTTGGAATGGGGATAGAAGGTTATCTTTACGTTATGGGGATGCTTTTGAGATTGTGAAGAAACGAACAAGTGTAGTTCCATTTGCTGCTATAATTGATGGACGTCAAAGGTTGCCAAAAGATTACTACAAAGAATTTATTCGGGTGCCATATATAGCAGTGACTGTAGTCACCCTGGGTGCTTATTTTGCTCACCCACTTATGCAGTCAGCCAGTTTTCGACTTCACTGGTAGGAATTACTGGGAAATTTTCAATGAACAGGTGAGTAGGTGGCAATACTTGGTGTGACCACAGGTTCTTGACCAGACAAGGCATTTAAAGAGAGAGATTTGCTGTTTATATCTGCATACACCACCTTTCTTGGGCTCAAACAGAGTATTGCAGCAAGTTTCTTTGGGTGAATTGCTAGCTTGCACTAAAGAGAAATGTTGAAGACTTGACTTGCATCTGAGGAGAACTGGGTATGATAATTCACAAATTTTTAAAGGATGATGCAGCAACTGTTTGCCTTCCATTGCAGCTTAAGGTGGTGCGTCCCTGATTCCCTTTAATTTTCAGTTGTCACAGAGAAAAATTGTGTAGCCTTAACATTGTATTTAATTGTATTTTGTAATTTCTAGGTAAAATAGTCGCAATTTTCACCAAAAAAGAAAGTCATGATTTTAGTATATGATCCTAGTTTGTGTAATTAATAGCCGAGGAAAGAAATAAAAAATCATTAATTTTGGTGTTGAAGTCTCTTCTTCTATATGTTTTGAAATGTTGACATGTGGTCCGATAGTTTCTACTTAGTTGTTGTTTCTTCTTATACTGGAGAACAAAAGCAATTATAGCTTGTTAATGGTAATCTGGGAAAGTTGGGACAGCATGGTTGCAGAGTTTATCACTCTACCCTACTGTTGAATATTTATCACCCTGCCATTTTTGAGTATTTGTGAGACCAGATCAACTAGCCATGTATACACTGTGCAAGGCTCTTATAAAATTATACTAGGTTGCAGAATTTTTCTTTCTTTCTTGATGTTTTCTGGCATATTTGTTCGGATCAGGTTGATTGGTTAAACCACAGTAGATAATGATTTTGAGCAAGGCACTGTAATGTCAGTTAGGGCTACCCAAGATTAATTAACAAAAAAATGGGTTAAAATGAGGGCCAATAAGTTCTATATTAGGGAAAAATAGTTTCATATAGGGTTTTCCTGTGAATATAACACTACCATTAAATTGTTGCTTATTTTCTGGTAGAAGCTTGATATCTACCTGCCTGATATAAATCTATTCTATCATTGTTATGATAAAATTGAAAGTTTCAGTGAAGTGCATCTCTATATTCAGAAGTCACAAGGCTCTCCTAGCAACAAACGCCTCTATTATTCCAATTTATATTCAGAAGTCACAAGGCTTCCTAGCTGTAAGACTGTAAGTGTCTCTTCTATTTCAACAAGTATTACTATTAAACATAGGTATTCTGTATAGAATATAGTAAATGATACAAGTGTTACAATTATCTTCAACACCCTCTGTTCATGTCATCTGAGTTGTTTAGAGGCATATTATGATAGATTCCCAAAAGAGAATATGAGAGCATCGTCAACCTGAAGGAGTAGCTGTTGTGATTTTTTTGATGAGTGACTTTGAAGATGACATAGTTCCAGTTAAACTAATAACGAACCCAATCATGATGATGATCCCATTGAAGAGCAAGTGAGGTTTGGAAATTTCAGCAAGATGAATTTTGGAATAGAAGATGCATGGTATTATGATAGATATACTGACACTGATAAGAGAGCCAGTTAGATTGAGAACATATTGGAAGTATGGCACAGAAAGAGCTAGGGCTAGTATAGCTATAAGAAGGATCGAGCCTATACTACCTCTTATGATTTTCCTTGTCCTTGAACTTGTGAAAGAAGGAAGATTGTGCTCAAGTTGGATTGCAAGTGGGGCAAACTTCAGTGCATATTTGGTCATAGGTGTCAACACTGTTGCCCACAAGGCAATTTTTGTGGCAATGCTATCTTGTGGCATGCTGAGGGTGATTTGAGAGTTTATGTTGGGGCCAAACATTTTTGCTCCCATGAAAGCCAAGGCTGTGTAAAGCGCCGTGATTGTAGTGAAGCTCAATACAGTAACCTGAAAAGAACCAGAGTGCAGGAAAGAACATCAGTTTGCCAAAAAGAATAAAAAATAGCTACCTTTCAACTTTCTTCTTTTATTCATATATTAAAATTACTAGTTACACAGAGGGTGCTTGGGGGGGGGGGGGTGGGCGGGGGCGGGTGGGAGGAGATCAAACACAGGCCAGCCTATCTTAGACTCCCACACAGGATAGATTGTGCCCAACAATTATGAATGGACCCCTTGGCGTCCTTGACTTTTATGCTGACACTTAGCCCTTGTTCTCTTCTTCTAATGTTTACTTAATTACATGTATCAATAAATTGATTTTTTTCAAAAATATTATATTTCAAAGATGAAAAGGACATGGCCTAAGGAGGTAAACCCAACCGAAAATATGCAAACCACTGCATGCTCATGTTGTCACTGTGGTAGAAGCTCTTGGGTAGGTATAATAGTTAATTTCTGGTCATACTGCAGCCATCTTACTGTACTTTCATGAAAATGACTGGAAGTTACCTTTGGATACTTGGAGGGATCTTTCATGGATGTGTATATGTTGGGAAAAACAGTATGTCCTGCATAACTATAGGCATAAAGTCCAGTTACATGAGGAATTTTGTTTAGGTGCAGCACTGGTATGTTATGGTTTGCATTCACCACCCCAAAAATTGCTGTACCTGTCACTGTCAGAAAAATGAGCATTGACATGATAATTCCACCTGCTGATAGAAAAGCTATAGAAGTAAAGTCTCTGAGCCATAGGCTAGGAAGTGTCACCAAAATTGCTGTCGTGGTTAGTAGCTTTGATTTTTTGATCAAGGGTACCTTAATAGGAATTCCTTTAATGACCATGTTTAAGTTATCATGAAGTGAAATTGTGTAGGATACAAGGCCCATGAAAACATCCGTATAGATAAGTATTGTAGCTATGATTTTTCCTTTTGTCCCGAATGCTTGCTGTCCAATGTCAGTGTAGCTTCTTAACTCAGGATTTTTGTCGAGGCATTTACCAAGTAGGCAAGCACTATAGGCACATATCATTCCGAGTCCTACAAGTAAGAATGCAGAAACCCACCCTCCGTTTTCCAGGCCGTATGATGTAGATAACTGCCCTAGACCTGCAAAAATGTTGAAACAAGGGAAATAAGTTATTCTTGAAAGAGTAACTGTTTGTGTTTTGACAATTTGTGGTTTGATTTTCAGAAGTTGCATTGGAAATTCTCAGGATTGATAATCTTTTTTGGTTGACAAACACGTTTGGAAAGTTTGAATTTCAGGGAGAAATCGCTTACCAATATACCAAGTTCCTCTTAGGTGATTGGAACTCCCCTCAGGAAGTAAGGTAGTTCTACAACCTTAAGTGCAACCAAACAATTTTGTCTATTTCATGGAAAACGAAACTTTCTATGTTTAGGCCTTGTTTGGTAAAGAGCTTTTTGGAGAACTTTTAGTTTATTGAGGCCTATTAGAGATTTGACCATTCTGATTAAGTTAACTTGGGGGTTTGGTAAATAACTTTGAAAGAGTTTTTTTTTTTTTTTTTTTTTTTGAAATAGCTCAATATTAAGTTTTTTGGTTGTTAAATACATTGAAATAACTAATAATAAGCTAATTAAGAGCTATTTACCAAACACTTTTAGAGAGTTAGCTAATTACAACCAGTTAATCCAATTAGCTAGTCAAACCAACTAATACAACTAGTTAGTCAAACCAATACAACCAACTATATTAATCAGCTACCAGCTAATTACCAAATAGGGAGTTAAACAACTACTTAGACTGCGCAATGAATGCCCGATTATAAAATGGGAAAAGAGGTGGCTAATTATTTACAGCTTTTTACCTATAACCATCCCAGTCATATTGATGACAGAGTGAGTGAAAGAGCTACTGGGCTTGGCAGGTTGCTTTATGTCTATACATTCTTTATTTTCTGTTTCTGACTTCCTCTCTATATGCTCACATTCGCTCAATTTATTATTTTCCTCAAAACACAACCCACAACTCTCATATTCTATACTAAATGTATCATTAGGCCCCATCTTGTTTACTTGACTTCCTTGTAGCTTACTATATGACAGAACTGACTCAGATTCTATGCTTAATGTATCATCAGACCCCATCTTGTTTACTACTGGACTCTTTTAGCTTATTGTTTTACTCAGGGGAAGCTTGTTTTTTGAGCAGGTTTCTGGCTCTTGCCTGAAGTGATAATATGTGATAAATGGGATTTATATGACCTAGGAATTTTAGTTCTGTGAGATTATAAGAGGTAGAGTCCTATATATAGCTGAATAGGTTTGTATTTCAGGAACAAGTGGTCCAGAAATAAATTTAAGTTTCTGAGTGTGCTGTGTGCCTTGGATAAGGTGGAGAACGAAAGCGATGGTTATCTGGGTTGTGTTCTTTTCCTCGTTTGTAAAGATTACACCTTAAATATGAATAATAAGATCTATGATGTACAAGACAGCTGGTTTTGGGTGCAATGAGTCCCCCAAACTTATGGTTGAGAATCTGAAAAATAAGTGGTGTGAACAGATGTACAATGCGTGTGACCCCGACTAGCTGATTATACTGGAAGATAAGTGGTGTGAACATTTGCACCAAAGTTTCTGAAACAACAATATTGTGGTTAACTAACCTTGTTTGAAGCACTTGGAGTTACGTTACAAAGTTTGATTGTTCAGTTCAGCTAGAATCAGACTGAAGACTAATGGTAATGACCGAGATGATGGAGCGGACCTCAATTGCTCTAATATTCGGTTAATATGTTTTCTTTCTGATGCATTGTTTGGTTAATTATGTTAATGTTAGTTATTCATTGGTGCAGGCTGACAGTGATGTTGTCTGATCTGATAATGACTTGATTGGTATGAGATTACTACCATGTTGAGAAGTTGTCAAAATGGACTATTGGATCTGCATTCAGCAAAGTAGAGTTTGGCCAATGGCCAACTTAGGTAAATCAAATTGTGTACAAGGGAGGAACACAAAAGAGGGAAAAACCTTGTTGCGCATGAGTTTGCCCCTTTCAGTTAATGCATAAACATAATACTGGTAATTTTCAGGTTTCCTGGCTGACTGATTTTCTTTGAAGAATCAAGTCAGAAACTGACGCTAAATGAATCACGTCACGACTCCTATTCTGTTCGTGCACATCATTGTACCAACATTGTCCTGAAAATTAGTTGCTGAAAGAGTTAATGTATGGTCTTGAACTCTTGCTAGTTTGTGTTAAGATAAGGTTATCACATGGTTTCCTGATTGAAAAGTGTTCTAAATGAGTATCTTTCAGAAAGAGTGCTGTGTAATCTTAATATAGAGCAGTATGAAAATATCTGAATTCTGAAACTAGCTAATTGAGTATGACTGGTATGGAAAGTACCTTGTCTAGTCTATCTAGGTTGAATGGGATCAACATTTTCCATGTGCAGTATTTCCAAGGTACTGGTTAACAGGACAGTAGCTCTATTTTTTTTTTTTTTTTTTGTTTGGCAAACTGACTCATGCTAAAGCATCTCCAATGGCAAACTATATGTATTGTAGCTTATTTTGCTATATCAATTTTTGAAGCTACTTTGTACAACGGTATATACTTTCTAGCTACAAAATATTCCAATGGATAACTACAAGGGCCTAAAACACATTGTAGCTTGTCACAAGTATAAACTAATAAATTAAATTATTACACAAATGTTAGATTTTAAACAGAGCTTGCCTTGTCTTTTCTTCAATCAATCTTTTAGCTTGTTCAATCATTATATTATTATATTTTTAAATCGGTAACATATGGGAGGGTCCCTCCACCCTATCACAGAAATGGGGGGATGAGGATCGAACCTCCAACCACTTGAGGATCCCTCCATCTCCCATGTCCTCTGTTCAATCATTATATAACTTATATGTTATGGCTCAAATAATACAATCTATGGCATTGCCTAGGCCACACTTCATTAATTTATTTTTAAAATGACAAGGAGAGGTGGAAGCGTAATGAAAATTATATTAGGGTAGAAAGGTAAAAGTATAAAATTTCACTCCCAAAGTTGGGATTTGCTTATTTTAAAGTACATACTACAAGCAGCACCAGCTCAATCACCTTTGAAACAACGGATAATAATTACCATGTCGTATAATCAATTTCAATTCATACAACCTGAACTCCAGGATAACTAAGTACTTCGTACTTTTATGTTCTTTTACTCTCAGTACTAAAACAATAGTCAATAGGTAAACAAAATTAATTAAACAGTATATAGCTTAGACAACATACATAGAACTATATTTGATCTACTGTAAGTGTGATTAGTCTATTCATCACCTAATTAGACTCCAGTTATCTACTATGTAGTTAGTCTAAAAAAATGTGAAAACTTTGAACTCGAAACTGTACCAGTCCATGGCTACATCGAATTCCATATATCATCAGACTGGATTTCCTTAAAACGACCCTGAAGTTTAGCTGGTAATGCAGGATCCCGCCATTCCAAACCATCCCACCAGCAAGTCTCAGCTTTGATCTCCTTTATGGTGGCCTCAACAGGAGATTTTAGATCGAGATTCTTCATTCGAGGACAGTTGTAGATACTGATATACTCTAAGCAGGGTATATCACCACTATTCCAAATGTTTACCAGTTTGGGAAGATAATGAAGTTTCAGTACCTTTAACCTAAGCTCTGCAGCATCAGGCGGGTCAACCTCCATCTGGTCGTTTCCAACATCTTCAATGGAGTTGACATCAGTAACATTTGGTTCACAAAAATCGTTGTCACCAATATCGTGATCTGCAGAACTCTGATCCTGGCTGCTAATGACATTTTTCAAAGATTGACAGTCCTCAACAGTCAACTCCTCCAAGTTGGATAGAACAGCTACCATGGAACGACACAGAATTAATTCCAGTTTTGGGCAAGAATGCACTGATAATCGCCTAAGCCTTGAGAGACTTCCAGCTCGAATGGGACCTGCCCAAATCCAGCACAGGTTCCAGGAATAATGGATGCTCAAGAGCTCTAGAAACGGAAAGAAATTTCCTGTCCGCTTTGTGCTGTTTATTATTGCTTTTAGTTTCGGGCAATCCCTTACAACACAAATCTTTAGATCATTGATAGTAGCCCGTCCGAATTGTGTCAAGGACTGAGCAGTTAGGTGATGATCTACATAAAATGCTGTAGCTTGGGAAAGCACTTTACCAACTGCATCAGGCATACCTTCACCATTAACAAACCTCAAGCACCGATCTTGCTGATAATACTCATGTTCAAGGTAATCAGAAACATGAGAGACAACACGCTTGACATCATGGCCCACAACAAACTTGAAATGGGTCAAAGTTCGGTGTAGCCAAGCTGGACTCACATCAATGAAATACTCGAGATTTTTTATATCAGGAAAGTGGAAAGATAGGGAGCATAATTTTAAGTTGCTCACTTCAGTTGTTACATCCGATGCAACCTTAGTCCATCGTGGATCTCCAGGATATACATTAATGCTGAGCTCCTTTAGCTGAACAAGATTGGACATTATTCCCTTTGAGATCAACTGTGGTGGCAGCATGGCACATTCATCCTCATCCATGGATCCATAAAAGCAGACTTGCAAGTGAACTAAACAAAGCAACTCACATATTTGATCAGGCAGCTGGCATATTTCTGTACCATGAACATCAAGAACCAAGAGGTGTTTCAGAGCCCCAATTGTAGGTGGGAGGTAAAACAAACGTTGACAGTTCCGGAGAATCAATACCTGTAAGCATTCAAGTTTTGTGAGGGACTGTGGTAAAGATTTTATTCTGGTTTTGGACAGGTTTAGAATTTGGAGAGAAGACATGTTCTCGAACAAAGATGAAGGTATGACTCTTAAACAGCTATTTCTTTGGAGGAATAATGCTAATAATTTTGAGCAGGCTGGCCTTTTTGGTAGACTTGAAAGTGTATTATCCATCAAAAAGACCATTTTTGCTTCTTCCCATTCTTCCTCTGACGGTGGTTCACTGAGATCATCACCTGCTTTCAATATGGAAAGGTGACCTTCTGGTTGCTCAAATGTGGGATTGCTTATGTGAGACAAAAGAGTTTTCTGTGACAGTATAGACCTAAAATAACGAATCAAAAGCATTTGTAACCCTTTTGCATCGGAGAGAATCACTAATGCCAAATCACGTAAAAAACCATGCATCTCAACCATCAAACCATCATCAGTGCACTGCAATAAAGAGACGTCAATGAGATATTTAATAATATCATGTCCTCTTCTATGTGCATCTGACATACTCCCAGAAACAATGCCTTCATCAACCAAGTACCCTACAAGAGAAGAAATACTAACTGCTTTTCTTTCTGTGAATAAAGCATGATAGAGAAAGGAACTTCTAATATCATGTTCTTTGAGCCTATCATATCCAATTTTAAGTACCTGAAGGCAATTAGTCAATAATATGTTCTTTACTGTACTCTTCCATGCAAATATACTGCTATCCATTCTCAAGGCACTTCCAGCAACTTTTATCGCCAAAGGCAAACCAGAACACTCGTCAACAATTGCACGGCCATAAGGCTCAATATCTTCAGAAACCATGACATTACCCACATGAAAACGGAACAATTGTAGTGATTCTTTCCTAGATAAAACCTGAGCTTCAATGGTTCTATCCACTTCCATGGCTTCACAGATATGGATTGATATGGTTGTCAATATTATCATATAGTCATTATCTAGATTGCCGATAGGAATTCCCACCATTGGCAGATCAATATACTCCCATACATCATCTAGAAACAAAATGAACTTCCTTGCTAAAAGAGTCTGCAGAAGGATCATAGCAACTTCATCATCAGACTTTATATTTGGCACATTCAAAGATAGCTGCTGGATTAATGAATTCTGTATCTTTCTTCGGGAAGAGCATCTTGGTATAGTTACCCAAAGAACCAAGTCAAACGATCTCTTTACATCATCGCGTGAAAGAAAGGCTTTCATCAATGTGGTTTTCCCTATACCACCAGCTCCATATATGCCAATTTTCTTGACTTCTACATCCTGAAAAGCTGATAATAATCTCTGCAGACTGCAATCAGTTGATTTACTATACTTCGCTGTTGGCCAAGAACTGAAGCCCAAGTTTACAACATTTCTCAAGCGACAATGAGTCAAACTGGTTTCGATCTCTCCCTCTTTCGTTATTTTGTCATTTGCGCTAAATGTTGAGTCAACATTGTGAATCGTTGGTATGATGGATTCATCTAGTCTTATTTGACTAGTAACATCAGCATTATGAATCGTTGATATGATGGATTCATCTAGTCTTATTTGACTAGTTACATCAGCATTCTGATTTTGAGAACATTTTGCATAGGTTTCCCTCTCGCTGTCAGGAGTATTGGTGCCTTTTGAACCAAAAAATGGAATTCCTGTAATAGTAAATGACTCTGTTCCTGTCAATTCAGTTGGAGCTTCCAGTGCCCTACATTCATCCACGCCAAAGGATATCTTGAAAGATTGTGAGTCTGAGGCCCCACTGGTGCTTCCTGCTGCATATATCCAATTATGAAATAAAATTGATAGTTAGTATGCTAGTTTACAATAGGAAATAGAATTTGCAGATAGAAAAGTAGATATGCTGATTTCTCTGTGCACTTGTCATTTGGAGAGTAGAATAAGTATATGAAGCTTAAAGGAAACCTAGCTAGCAAATGAACAAAGAAAGTACAAGGATATAAATGAGTGCGTTAGATGTCAAGAGTAGTGTTAAGATGTCCAGTACTAGGATGATGAGTTGATGACATTGACAACATCTGAACAAAAAATAAAAAGAAATTTAAAAAATAAAAAATAAAAAATAAATAAAAAAAAACTATTCCCAAACTTTCCCCTATCTTCATTTTTTACTGATTAACTAAGGTTTCAAACCAAGGGAAATCTTTTAGGTCTGCACGTTTTGAAGAAAGTATGTAGTTATGTACTACAGATCAATAAACTACTAATGGTCCATCTGGTAGCCGGTTATAAATAGCAGCAATGAGAATGAATTTTAAGTGTAAATTAGGTACGATATTAACATTGTAATCCCCATAATAATGCAAATTCATCCTTAAGCATGTGTTTTCTTCATGTGTTTTCATTACCATCCATTACCACTAGGGAGGAGGTATTAGGTGGGAATGAAAATTATAAAGAAAAATGGACAATTTGAAGTGAACTTGCATTGCCATGGGGATGAACCTTGATTCACCTTACAAATTCACATACAAACTCATTCCCATTACCACTATTTATAGCCACCTACCAAACGGGCCATAAAAGCTTCACAAACTATCAAAAGGTGCTGTCAATAGATATAATAATTTCACGGTGTCACACATATCAAATTTGGTTCAACTACATAATTCTGTTCACCAACAGTATTCACACATCAAAACTTAATTCAACAACAATCTTAGTTATGTGTTTGTTTGAACCATATTAATCAGTAGAGTGACAACATTGCAAACATGAGCAACATAATTCATTATGTCATAGAAGACGGTTTTAAACACCATATGTGCACATCCTTATCCTTGGTTAGCATAAACTTCATTAGGTGTGTTTAATGAGTGGGGAGAAAAACTTCTCAATACCTGCCTTTTCTCCTCCCAGATGCCCATTCTTTGTCCCCTTTCATCCAAGGCTCAAGGTATACATATATACACCATAGAGCATAAAACATGATCTTTTTCTGTTTTAATCTGACATTTCTAGATGTCATTGGTTGATTAGACAATATAATGGGCAATTCCAATGAAGAGTCAGGCATTAAGATGGGACCTAATTGCTGGAAATTAGTTGTTGAGAATTGAAAGAAGTTGAGGTACAAAATCTGAAAAGAGATTGATAAAGAAGATTTCTTTGAAATACTTTAAACAGTTTAAAGCAAGTGACCGCTGATGTGAATTTACAAAATAAACATAAAAGTGAAATCTTACGTATAATTCTGGCTCCATTAGAGCAAGTATGAAGACCCTTATAGGAAATTTGGTAAGCATCACCTTCATCAATCCTCTGCACCTTCTTCACAGCTGCACAACCTTCTTCCTTATACGTACATCTGAAATAGCTCCTGTTGAATAAATTATACCATTAATCATATGCAAACTTGTGCACGTTGATACTAAAGAACAACACACAGCAAACGTATTCATTGATGCTTAACACAAATGACTAGGGGTAACGGCAGACAAACGAAGCATGGTCAGAACAACATTTAGGGCATGCTTGAATTGGGGGTAACAGCAGACAACTTATGGTAAAAAAAGGTGGATAGGGGTGGTGCCATGGTGATAGAGGGGACGATCGCATGGTGGTGCAAAGAGGAGGGAAGTATGGGGGAATTACCTTCGTTTGGGTGTAAAGTGGAGGGAGAAGTAGGATGTTATAACACCATTTCTCCCTCTTTTTCACATCACCACCATCTCATCCCTTTTACCACCACCTTTTCTTGCCTTCATGCTCCTTAATTTTTTCTTATTACCTGCCCCCCTTCTTGTGAACCCAAATCAAGCATGCCCTTAAAATATCTTCAACACCATTGTATCTACAAAATATTTCAATCTTCCATTACTATATGTTTAGATGAGAATCATTCCATCTCTTTCATGGTACGAGATAGTATTAATCTCAATAAACCACCAATAATGAAACTAAAGTAAGAAGTGCTACTATATAAATCAATGAAATGTCTAGTGAACTTTCATACAACCATGACAAATTATTATCATAATTCCTCGATGCTAGGATGTCAACAAGCCAAGCCCAGCCAAGTATTAGTCTTTTCGAATTAGGCTTGATAAGAACTTTGGAAACCTTACTTGTTCATTTCCTTTCATTGAATGAGTAATCCTTCCCCTAACTATTAGAAATTTTTTTCTTCAGCTTTATTTAAAGGCCAACTGATTACGTAGAGTCATACGCTCATACCATAATTTTAATTTCGTTTACTTATTACTAAATACCTATCATTGCGTGTCAATAGAATTATGGCCAACTCCTATGGTGCAATAAAAAAAGAACGGAGGAAGTACACAAGTTTATCAAGGACTCATACCGTGGATACTTTGATCCTAATATCTCTTTTTGCCCGTATTTCCTCCAAGAATATCCATCATCTGTAAGTTCCTGAACGACAATCCTAAGAGCCAAAAGATGTCAAAGTTTAAACACATATTTTCAGCAAGGTATAACTCAACACATTGTTTTTTATTTGTAACTCTTTTTTTCTCCTCAAACTTTCTCACGGAAAACAAAATAATAAACATAATTGAGTTATGGCAGATTTGTTTTGGTACATAGTTTATTCATGTGAGCTTGCTCCAAAAGTGTCACCCTTAACAGGTAAAATAGCCAATATAGCATATAGAAGAGCTTACATACTCCATAACTCCAAGTCAACAATTTTTTTTAAATGAAGGTCATAGCTTTTGTTGATTTAAGGTTTTCTCAACTACAAAAGAATAATCGCAATTATGAATGTATTTTTACAGGGGACATATTCCAAGGGAAAATAAACACTATGTTGTGTATGAAAGTTAGCATGTTACTCTAGAGGGATACCGACATGGAAGTCTATGAGTAGTCTACTTATCTAAGGTTGAGTTGAACCTTTATATAAGTCAATAGCATGGATCGATCCTGAACTGATGTAATTAAAATTCATCCTTATAAAGATTGGATTCATTATAGTAAGTAATGAACGTGATTAGTTTCATAACAAAAATCGACTCTTTATTGACATATGAACCCTAATGAAAACAAAAATTTGCTCTTGTGATAAATTGTTTGCGAAAGTTCTTTGTATTGCATGATTGAATGGAACTAGGCATGATTATATTCCCAAGAAAGATAATTGGTATTAAGAAAGGGCAAATCTATCATCTATCATGCTTAACTCATTATATGATTAATTAATCAACTAAAGTTCTCATTTCAACCAACTCATTTTTTATTAATACGTATTTCAATTCCTAATGTGTGTTAATTTATAGTTCTTATTCAAATCTATCCGAATTCGACCAACTTAATATTCATAGTTCATACTCCAACCTTCCCTCCATACAGTTGTTTCCATCTACGATAAACACTATACACTTGGCGGAATTAAAACCCGTTCGCAAATACAGGTTAATTGTAAATCACATAACTAACAAACAACGAAACAAGTCAACCAACAACAACAAGAACAAGAACTAACAAGCAAATTAGCAAAAAATAATAAATTGAAAATGGTAGCAAAAAATAATCAATTGAAAATGGAATAGAATCTTACTCAGTTGATTGTATGTTGCTTCTCTTACGTTTAACTGGGAAATGTGAGTCTTGCTTCCATACTTGCTCATACGATTTCCTGCATAAATCAAAAACCAAAAATCAAATATCAAAAATCAAAAAAATGCTGAAGTATATAATCAGTAATTACAAAAATCAATAAATTATTGTAGATTAATTATTGAAAAATCACATTTTGAAAAACAAATTGGTACTAAATTAGAACCTAATTCCAGAAAGATCTTTCTCCTTGCTACTGATCTTCATCAACTCCATATAATTTAAGGATCTAAGAGTTGAAAACTTCGAAAGGTCATAGAACGGGCCAGGGGCGGGCTGTAATGAGCCCGGTTACGCAGTAAATGTGGGCCCGTTGTGGTGGTAGGTGGTCAAGGAGAAGATGTGAAGTGGTAATGGCCAAAAGAGGGAAGAAATAGAGAGCCAAACATAAGTTGACTTTAATATCGTTAAGATGTTAGATTCATTCCTTTCCATAATATGACTACTTGCTACTCCCTCTATTTTTATAAAATAAATATTTTTATAGTACACGGTTTTCCTTAATCACTCGGCACATGGTTTTGTGAGCTACTCCCTTTGTTTAATTATGATTAACACGTTTTAACTTTTATTGTGATAAATTGTAATTATCAATATGAAGTATATAATGGCAAAAAAAAAATGGTCAAAGTTATGATAAATGTCAAAGCATCTCAATTATCATGCAATAGAGAGATTATTCTATATCATTTGCTCTTCTTGCTTAGAATTCATAAGTGCTTAATCAATAGAAAGTTGAAGTGAATGACTTGTCAAATTTGAATTCCAAAAAAAAAAATATATAGAGATGGTACGGGTTATATCGGGCTCGCGTGTGTTAGGCTTAGCTATGTTTGGCCCATAAATGTGCCTTTTTGCTATCTATCGTGCCAAAAATTTCAATAGTGTGCCCACAACATAAGCTCAGATTTCTATAAGTTAAAATTAATTTATTTTAGTGTGTTTTTCTATTAGAATACGAGCATGCCGAGTAGGTATAAAAGTGTGTCTTGCCATGCCAAACTTGTGTGACACAATGTGCTTTTTCTGTGCTAAGTCGTGACATGATACGAGCCAATCCAACCCATGATCATCTTAATTTAAAAATACGGCTAATTTCCATCGAAATTTATCAAAACATTAGATATTATTCCCTAAGTCACCAAAAGGCCCTTATATGCACAATTCCAACCAACACATACAAATACTATATAAAGTTTATAAACTACTTTTTATTTATTTTTTATTTTTTTTAGGGGTAGTATATAAATTAATATTATATGAATTTGTATGCACAATTCCAACCAACACATACAATTATACAAATACTAATATTTAAATGACTTCTTCAAAAAAAAAAAATTTTTTTTTAAATTGCTACCCACCTAGGCGGGTATTTCTTCAAAAATTAAGTGAACTAAACTAGAAAAACGAATTTTGTTATCAAAGAAATCTAGAAAAATGAATTAATCATATGGATTATGTTGCTTTTTTGTAACAACTAATCCAATCATTATGCAAAAAATTAACTTAAAACATACAATTATTAAAAGAAATTAAAAATATATAGTTCTAATTTTTTAGCAATGAATAATTTTTAAATCATTTTCTTGGGAACCATGGCGGTCGATAGAAGGCGACCAAAATCTTGCTGTTGAACTTGTCAGTTGACTTCTTCGAGGAGAGAGAGCGCTTCTGGATCTCGAATTTTTGCTTCACTACCGCTTTACTGGTATTCTTGCTTCTCCCATTTTTTTATTTTTTATTTTTTTCTGATTAAATTTCAATTTCTTAATTATCTGGAATTGGTTCTTGTACTATGCTGAAAGTAGTACTTTTGCTCATATTGTTTGATGCATAGAAAGCATAAGGAGTAGTAATGTGCTTATGTAAACGGGATTTAATCCGAGGTCTTAGATAAGAAATAGTAATGTAATCAACGGGATTTGATCCGAGGTCTTCCAAGACTTTACCAACTGAGCTATTTAGTTTGGATTTTCAATATAGTTTTGCCCTGGAAGTTTTGATATTCTTGCAGTTGTATATTAATTTGAGTTATTGTGTAGATATCATTTTGTTATTTGGAATTAATTAGTTTAAAAATAAAGGTTTGTGTAATCATTCAACGCTTAGCTGGTTAAATGTAAGGAGAAGTCTGCTTCATAGAGTTCAAATCCTAGCTTGATTGACTCATACTGCACTAATGCTTTTCTTGTTATTATTGGTTTATGCAACCTAGTGCACGATTGACTCATGTTATTCTCTTGATTTCGATAGTTTGAGGGATGAAATTTGATCTTTGTGTCTGTTTTTCCTATGTTTGGTAATGATTATTATAGAAATGGAGATCTTATGGAAATTTTGGTTCTTGATATAATTTCTTAGGTGTTTCTTTTCTCCTTTTTAGCCTAAAGGATTACTCTTGAATTCTGTTTTGTGTTTGCATCTTTATGTATGTCAATGGTCACAAAACGCTATTTTTATAATTGACTCACTAGATGTCATAAGTTCATAACTTCCTGCGTAGTAGCTTAATACAAGAATCTAGTGGGAGCTCAATGGTAGAGCTTCGACCTCCCAACTAGGAGGTTGGAATTTGGAGGTTTGATCCTCACCACCTCTAAAACTCATGGTTGGGTGATATGGTGGTTTAATTGTGGGTACTTTCCCAATCCCTTTCTTTGCCTCAGCCTTTTAAGGGCTGTTGTCCTCTAGGGACAAGAAAATACAGTAGCTTAATAAAGCTCTCTTGTGAACAATATGGCACTCATGCACCTCTTAATTGTTACAGTGGCACTGGCTCAAGATGGATGAAGCAGTTTCAGATAGATATCGCTCTTTCAAGGAGAAATATGACCTTGCTGTTAGCGTGGATGACATCTTCCAAGATCTTCAGCAACAAGCAAAAAAACTCTTTACCAAGGAGGTAGATATAAGTAAATTGATTAGTAGTCACTTAGCTACAAGAAAGAAGCATGAATATGGTACTTGGCTGGATGATGTCAAAAAAATAAAGCGGGATTTTGAGGATATAAAAGAAAGATACATGATTTCGTGCGAACATGGCCAAAGACTTGTAAATTTACCTAGTATTGTGAAGCTTTGTGAAGAGATGAAAAAAGTAACTGAGGCAATTGTTGCTCTTAAAGACAGAATGGAACCTGAAATCACCTTGCCGATGAGCAACAGTCTCTCTGAAAAGAAGCCTGTGAACGAATTGGATGACATGGATACATTTCATGATGTTGTAGAAAAGTTGTTGGGTTACTTGAGTGATGACAGTATAAAGAGTATTGGGATATGGGGTATGTCTGGAGTTGGCAAAACAACAATAATGGAAAACCTGAAATACAAGGTTGAAAAGAATGGCATGTTTGACATTGTAATATGGGTGACAGTCTCCAAAGGAGGGAGTGTTCGTAAAATACAACAGACTATTGCAGACAGATTGAAATTGAATGTTGAGAGCATCTGCAGTGATTATCATCTGCCGTTGATACTGCGTAATTCTCTGGAAAGGAAGAAGTATCTTGTACTTTTAGATGAAGTATTTTCGGAAGTTGATTTACGTGCTGTGGGAATTCTTCGTAGTCATGAGCATGGAAAAATTGTCTTGGCTACTAGATACAGATCCTTATGTGATTCGATGGATGTAGATGAAGATATCAAAGTGGAGAGGATGAGCAGAACAGATGCTTGGAAACTCTTCCGAAAGATTGCTGGTGAAGCAGTAGAGCATCCAACTATCAGGCCAATAGCTGAACGAGTACTGAAAGAGTGTGGAGAACTGCCACAGTTGATTAAAGTTGTGGCAAGGATGCTTAAAAATAAATTTAGTGAAGACTTATGGCTGAAGATTTTGTCAAAGTTGCAATCACCGTCAGATCATCAGCTGCAGCCCATGGAAGAAATGTTGAATGTTTTCAGACTAGTGTATGATGGATTAGGTGACAATCTGAAGCAGTGCTTACTGTACGGAGCATCATTCCCTGAAGACCATGAGATTTGCCAACATTATTTAATAGAGTGCTGGAAAGCCGAAGGTTTGATTGCTAAGACACACATGTTTTCAAAGGCACGTCATGAAGGACGGATTTTACTGGAAACTCTCATAGAAAAACACCTTTTTGACAGGTGTAAGAAGGAGTTTGTGAAAATGCCTCTCATATTCCGTAAAATGGCACTCAAGTTAGCCGATATAGATACTAATTGGTTATTGCTGGTAAGGCCTGATGAAAAGCTAGGGTATCCTCCAGTTGAACAATGGAGATGTGCCCGAGTAATTTCTCTGATCCGCAATAACCTACAGTGCTTACCTGAAAAACCTGAATGCTATACACTCTCTACATTGTTCCTCCAGCAAAATCAAATGCTAACCAGTATTCCACCATCATTCTTCCACTTCATGCCTTGCCTCAAAGTTTTGGACTTGTGTGGTACAGGGATCACTTCATTGCCAAATTCTATTACCGATTTAACCAACTTAAGGGGGCTGTATCTTAATAATTGTCAACAATTGGTAGCATTACCCAAAGAAGTTGGTGAACTCAAAAATCTCGAAGTACTTGAGATATGTCAAACTGGTCTTTGTAGTTTGCCTTCTGATATTGGAGAATTGACTCAACTTCAGTGCTTGAAAGTCTCCTTTATGAGTTCTATGAATCAAGAAACTCCTGACATGGACTTGATCCCTTCTGGTATGGTAAAGAAGCTTTGCTTATTGCAGGAATTAGCAATTGATGTTGATCCTCTCGATACAAGGTGGAATCAAATAGCAATTATAATTGCTAAAGAGGTAGCAACACTGTCGATGCTGAATAATCTTTCTTTCCACTTTCCTAGCTTGAAATGCTTGGAAGCTTTTATTGCTAACAGCAATTCCTGGAACAGCAGCCAGTTTCCTCTTACAGATGAGAAATTTAGATCCTTCCGGCTAACAGTTGGTGTCCATGTGGTAAATCAACTACATCAGCTGGACATCTCAAAATGCCTGGCTAAACGACATCTTAAATATTTTGATGGTAAAGACATTTCTAATGCAATCAAGGATGTTCTTAAACGAGTTTGTGCATTTGAGATGGTTGGTCATGAGAGTGTTAAAAATTTGTCAGATTTTGGAGTTGAAAACATGGAGTGCCTCGAAATTTGCATCATTGAAGAGTGTGATAAAATTGAAAAAATTGTGGGTGTCGATGCGCCTATGGTTGTTTTGTATCCCTGGCTGAAAGAGCTTCATCTGTTGAAACTTCAGCAATTTGAGACTCTCTGGGTGGGATCAGTCTTGCCTGGAAGCTTTGCAAAGTTAAATACTCTTACACTGTATGATTGTGCATATGTGAAAAGGCTGCTCTCCATTGAAATGACCAAGCATCTCCGGGACCTGCAATACTTGAGAATTGAGAAATGCTCTCAGCTTACTGAAATAATTGCAGCTGAGCATCCAGAGCTTGCTTTGTCTCTGATGGTGGACTCATCTGGCACGCTTCCTTCCCTGAAAAAGCTGGAACTCATTGGTTTACCAAGTCTTGTCAGTATCTATGGTGAGAGTTCCTTTGAGTGGCAGTCTCTTCAAAGAGTCGAAATCATTGCATGCGAAAGGTTGACTGTTTTACCTTTCAGTGGTACAAATGCATTGCGATTAAAATCCATTCACTGTGCTGAAGCTTGGTGGGAAGCACTAGTACTGCAGCATGAAGTGAAAGCTCAGCTACATGAATTTTGCTGTTTCATCTGATGATACACTAAGCTTAAGGGGCATGGAAATTTTTTGCAGGTAATCAGCTTTAAATGTTGTGATGTTCAATCATCCATTGTCTCTATCTACATTTTTTCATATTATCTTCCTAACCTTCTTCATCAATGCAAATTGACTTTTCTTTCATTAGCCAATGCTAACCTATACTGATATGCTAATTTAATTGCAGCTATTACATTTTTATAAGTTATATTCCATGTGTGCTGACTTGACGATTATGAGAACCCTCAATTATGACTTATGAGTGTATCTTCTACTTTCTTAGAGGAATTGAGGGCTGTCCTGTAATTAAGAATCTAGCTGAGGATGGTTTAATTTGGGTGAGTGGGAGGGGTGTTGGTGGTGGGAGGAGTTAAGATTGAATGGATTATAGAAAGGAGGTTTCTGTTCTATTTGGTAATTGTCATGAAAGAGGGGGCAGAAGAGTTGGGTGGATAGGTGGTTGTTCGATGTTTAGTAATCGCATAAATGAAGAACAAAAGCCTTGAAAAGTGGTAATATGCCTTTAAATAATTGTAATTGGGCTATCAGCAAGACTTTAAAGATCATTATTTTCTATATTTATTTTGTAATTAAGAACAAAATTATCTTTCTTCAGGAACATGGAAAAGCTGTCATTTTGACAAGTTTGTATATTCTTTTTCTTCCTTCTTTATGGAGTGATATATTGGCAATATCGTACAATAATAAACAATTCCCTTAGTAACGTGCTTTGTTTAATCTTTCAGTGGCTTCTGCCTTCAGAAGGTGGTTTTTTTTTTGGGAGCCTGGTGGGATAGAAAAGACATGGAAAAAAACAGGAGGTTTTTGGCAAAGAAGTTGATATTTTAAGCTTACAGAACCAATACGATATGGTGTGACCAGGTTGCTATTCTATTTCTGACGATAATTTGATGAAAATTTTTCTAGTTTTGGAGGCAACATACAGCATCATGGATTTTACCAAGGATCATTCATCTCTATATTTTAAGCTTGCTGTATGAATTGAAATAAAAACTTTGAAATACTCAAACAGAACAAGAATTGATTAATTTGTGTGTGGGTTGGACAGTTGGAGGGGGGGGGGGGTATTGGCCATTTCTTTTTTGGAAGATGAGATTATTGAGATGTTATATGCTTTAAATTTTTCTTCGAAAACCCGGATTTTGATAAGGCTTAAGCCTTCAGGTATTATGCTTTTCACCACCGATGTTTGGCTGAAGCATCGTTGCTGTCTGAAATGGCTCTCAGACAAGTATTAGCAGTATGCATCTTGTTGCAGCTTCTGCTGGCCTTTGTTTTGAATGTTTGAAAATCCTTTTAACTGGTAAATTTATAATGTTGCCTTTCTCTGTTGTTGTTTGTTTCCTATCCTAGGTAAAGTAATGCCTTCTTTTTGGTATAATTCTTGCAGTTTCTGTAACTTTGGCACTTATATTTTAAATTCCTTGCAGATATCCTCGTTTCCCCCATATATTTGGATCCTGTTACCTCACCTTCCAATCTGTACATCAAATGAGGAACATATATAAAAATGTTTACATTACATGAGACGCGAAAGAAAGAAAGGGGATACCATGCTGATTCTTAAATTAAAGGCAAGTTTGATGACGTTCCATTTGTTTCCTTGGTTTCAGGTTGGTTAAAATTAAGTGTCGTTGTGTTATTTTGAGTAATTTTTACTGTTGCTAACCTTGCTTACAAACTAAGTACCGTTCTGTTAGTTTGAGTAATTGTAATTGTTGGAAAGCTCTACATGTTGGCGATGTTGCATTTTAAAGTAATAAAATGGAGGAATTGAAGTATTATACTTAAAAAATTTAGCGTAAACACATTATATATTTAGAAAAATATGAGTACCCAAAAAAACCCTGAATCCAGAAGGTTCTTTAGAAAGAAAAAAATTATAGACCTTTTAAAGTATTACAAACCATGGGTTTTGTAAAAAGCTTGTTAAACTGTTTTTAAGAGTCTGTCCTAACTCTTTGTTAATTGTTACACATGGAAAACAAAGAAACATTATTCTTGCTTGGTCTTGACAGGATGCAGCTCCAATCTTTGAATCTCAGTTCCCATACTCCGTACGATGTAGGCAACCCTCTATATAACTCACAAGCGTAAGCATACAAATGCAAATAGACATAGGTGCATGGGATAGGACACGAGGAAGAGGAAGATTAGCTATTAGCTGGTAATAAGTACTTTTTAACGCAAGAGTCCATCAGTTTTGTGAGGGATTCAGTAAGCTTGTTAAAGGCAAAAGCACGGGTGAGCTGGGTTCGTGACATATCAAGCACTTTTTGTTTGAAGTCATTAAGCATATTGGTTGTATGAACCATCAGGCACTCTCTGAAGGCATGTACATCTTCTGGTGGGCATTGGCCATTCCGTAATATCTCAGAATACTTGATACTTTCTTCGTTGTTGAATTTTTGAATTTCTTCGGCTGCATTGCTCAAGTTCATCAATACGTTTGATCTCAAGCTCAAAATTCGTACTGATAATATATGGGCTGCATCTAATCTTGCAAATAGGCAGTTTCTATCAGTGGTAAACGTCGCTGCTGCCCGAGCTACATGATTACTGCTTAGTACAATTAGCACCACCATAAACATCTTAACCAATAATCATCTGTTTGTTTCTTTTCTCGGCAGTTGCCCCCATTTTATGTACTGCTATTACTTTTTTTTTTTTTTTTGAAGAAATGTACTGGTATTACTATTTACTACATTGTCTACATACCAATATATATGGATCAAAATCCAAGGTGAACCTACAATAATTTTATTTTATTTATTTATTTATTTATTTATTTTAAATTTTGACGGACAATATTCTTCATTCTTTCATTATATTTTTGATATAGTCCAACGAGGTTTAACGTGGTTCCCATTCCGATACTTCGTATTTCATATTATTCATTCTTATATTGCCTTCATTATCAATGATCAATATATATATAGATTATATACGCATCTACATCAAGTATGCTGCCTTATTTAATTAAGGAATTTCATTCCTTTTTTTTTCTTAATTATTTTTTTTATTAAGAAGTCCAACAATTTTACGTGCTTTCCATTTTTTTAATATTAAATTCTAATTCATTTTTACATTATTAATTCTTAATTCATTCTTGTTGGTACAAAGTGTTTTGATGTGTGAATTTTGTGAAAAACAAAAAATCCAATGTTGGTGAGAAATGGAAGGTCTTCCTCCTTTATATAGTAAAGTGTGGAATATTTGGGTGTGGCTCTTGGGCTACCCACATTTTGTGGAGAGGGAGGACTTACCTACTAAGCCAACCTATCACACACACGCGCGCATCGTTGTCAAAATCGCGATCAGATCGTAGGATCGTGCGATCCTACGATCCCATTTTAGCCAAATAATTCGGATCGGATGCAGAATCGCAGAGTAAGCAGGATCGTACAGGATCGGGTGGGATCGGACGATCTTGTTTTTCATTTAAACTATTATTAGTTTGTACAGGATCAGTCAGAATCGAGTAGGATCGGTCAAGATCGTACGATCTTACTTTTTACTTATTAAAATGAGCCTAATGTAATCAAACTAATTCTCTAAGCTAAGAAAATTACTATCCAACTACTAAAACTATAAATTTTACCATTTTTATGGCTTAAAAAATGTTATCTAATTATATAACAACCCTTTTATTACTATTTTTATCAATTTTGTAGAATCTTATGATTCTACGATCCGATTTTGCCGATTCAATCCTACTCCTCTCACCGATCCAAAGTAGGATCCCGATCCTGATAACCTTGCACGCGCGTCAAATTGAACCGAGTCGGGCTGGGTCGGGTTTATTAAATAAACTTAATTTTTGAACATGTTTTAGTGCCTTGATTTTTGCTAAACGTTTTTTGACTTGACTGATTCCCTTCATAACCGTTTTAAGACTCATTCAACATTACCGTTTTCTAGTTAATTCCAGAATTAATGCTACCGTTTTTCCCTAATTTATGGTAACCGTTTTGACTGGGTTAATTACCGTTTTTAATTGACCGTTTCGACGTTAATCACGCTGGTTTTGGAACGGTTTTTTGCTACCGTTATGCTACTGTTTTGCATATAAAAAATGTCTTTGTTCACCGTTTTAATCATAGAAAAAAAATTCTCTAATCCTCTTCCTCTAAAGAATCCAGAATTCGAGCAGTTTCATTATATTTTTGGTGCTTGGTTAGTCGGTGGTTCTGTGCAAATCCATCGGTATACTTTTGTCTTGAGAGGCTGTTTTATCCTGGGGACATCCGGTACGTACGAGCTGCTTGCACAACTTCGAGGCAGTACCGTGAATGTTCTAAAGAGAGAGACATAGTCCGCGACTCAGTCTCATTCCCGGTAACATTGTTCTTACTGTTTTTGTTCCTGCAGTTCAATTTACAACAATTCCTTTACACTAACTTTTGTTTGTAGCTACTACATCGTGTGATCAGCCACTATCATAGGGGTTACTCTGTTAGGGTTATAGATTACTGAATTTACTCTATTTACTCCGTTTTCTTTACTACGTATGTAATTTTTTTTTTTTTTCCAGACAGCCACACAGTATGGCCATGTCCCGAGCCTATTGATTAAGCACTATCTTTCTTTGAAGAAAACATAAGCAAACAATCAATTATTCAATTTAATGAGTAATAATTGATTGAATTTCGAAAATGCTTTGTCTAAATTGTTCATCGCTTGTTTGTAATCAAAGACATAAATCGGTTTCGGTATAAGTGTACACCAAGAAATTGTTGCTCTTCGCAGCTTGTAAGCTGTGCCTGAGCTACATCACTACCTTAGCACAATTATTAGCACCACCACAAATATCTCAACCATCTGCTTGTTTTGTTTTGCTGCCCCCATTTTGTGAATAAATTGTATTGATATTACTATTTAGCAATATATATACACCTAGATATGTATACATAAGGTCCAAGGAGTATTTTATTAGTTGACGTGTTTTGAATTTAGCCCTATTCATACACTTTTGACTTTCCTTTGTTCGTGTTTTGTGATTTATACGTAATGAAATATATATAATCGTGTGTAATCTTGTTAGATTCGTCACGATATATATTTTCAAAATATCAACTTTTTATTCGTAATTTTTGCTTATTATTAATTGAAGATATTAATGGTTGAATTTGTGTATTAATTTGACTAAAGAAATGCGTCAACTAAAAAAAATTGAGGAATATTTTGACATAATCCAACAATGTTACGTGATTTCCATTCAGTTTTCCTTAATTAATTCTTACATTATTATAATTTTTTTTTTTTCCAATTCCCTCCTTTATCATGTTCATTATTATTATTGTGTACGGGGGATATAGTATAAGCAAAGCAACCACGAAATAAGTAAATCAATAAAAAAAAACTAAACAAACTCACTTTCTGCGCACTATCAGCAGCGCAAAACCCAAGTCTATGCACTCCTAAAGACCAGCAAATCATATTCTTTTACGAAGAAAGATTGTGATCTTCCAAAGAATTATAATCATATACTTCTATTTGTCAACGAATGCATCAGTTTAATTAAACATGTAGCATAGTTTAGTCAACTTTAATTGATGAACTAGTTTTATGTCCGAACGATCCCCAAGTTGATTGAACTAGTTTCATGAAGTGAATTACTATTTGACTTTCATTTAATTCAATCAGCTTGAAACTATGGTATTAAATGAGCTCCATAATATGCCCCCTATAATTTTTAAAATGACATAATCATCCAACCACCACTAACTTTGACCAACACCACCTTGACCACCAGCTTCACCACCGTTACCACGACTCCACCACGTTGACCACCCATTCCACGACGGCTGACTAGCCACTAGAATTGTACTTTCCAGCCACCTAAATGAGCCAACGACGGTCCGCGTACATATTGGAGGCACTTAATGGAGACGACGAACCTTCACGCCACCGACTCAGGTCTAATTCAAACTTTTTTGTACATACTCTGATGTGGTTGGTTGCATTTGATAGGCGACCACCTCCATGGTACGATTGTCTATAATACGCAACCACACCATGGTGACCATGGTGAGGTCTCTTATTATAGGCAACTACACTATGGTGTAGTCGCCTATTAAAGGCAACCCACCATGGTATAGTTGCCTGTAATAGGCAACCACACCATGGTATAGTGTGGTTGCATATTACAGGCAATTGTACTTGAAAATAGTATTGTACACCCGGGTGCACCCGGAAGGCGGAAAGAACATACTGTTATTTGACAAAGAACATATCGTGTATGACAAAGAACATACCTATATATGTTTGATAATATGTTCTTCTATACTTATGTTCTTTAACATATGTTGATTAAACATGTTTTTTTGGGTTCAATAATACAAAATATGTTCTTTGAATTTGGCTCGTATATTCTTTAATTAAATTTGGCTCTTTTTTTTTTTTGACTGGCTCGTATGTTCTTTGAGGTAATGAGTTCTTTAACGTATGTTCTTTAACCTATGTTAGCTTTAACGTAGTTCTTTAACTTATGTTATTTAACGTATGTTCTTTAACTTATGTTCTTTTAACATATGTTATTTTGAATTTTGAAATTTAAAATTTAATTGAAAATGAAATCTTGAATTATTTTTAGTTGAAAATAATTTTAGAGAGAGAAAACTGAAATTATTATCGAAAGTTGAATTTTTGGAGAGAGAGAGAACTATTTTTGAGGAAATGATATCTTTGGTAAAAAAAAATTCTGTCAATGTGTAATTTTTCATGAAATTTTAATAAAACTTTTATCATGTTCTTTTTGTAATATCTTTATGTTCTTTAGTAATGCATGTTCTTTGTTAAAAACAAACATGTTTTTTTTCAAACACCTAAATGTTCTTTTTCAAACACCTAATGTTTTTTCTGCCTTTTTTTTGTTTAACCGGGTGCACCATGCGCATGGTGCTCCCGGGTGCACAGACCATGCATTAAATTATACCATGGTAGTGGTCGCCTATTATATATAAACGGATTTTTTTTTATAAGCGTAAAAAATATAAAACTTGATATTACAAATATAATAAGACCCTACATGACTATATTATCTCTTATTAATTAATGAAGATTTATGGTTAAGGTTTTTGAAGTTTGACTCAATTTTCTTGCAATGGGGCAAAAAAATAAGGATAGAGGGAGTATTACCTATCAAATTGGATGTGCACAAATCATGGTATCAAGATTAAGATACAATAATTTATTTTATCTTTATTTATTTATTTATTTATTTATTTATTTTGAGAAAAGATACAATAATATTATCACTCGTAGTATACTACTCATCTGAGAACTCTACTATACGCATTGATAATGGTCAAATTATGTGTGTTAGTATACTACTCTACATGTGGCAATACTTATAAAATGAAGGAATAGAAGTATGAAGTACAATATATACTTAATAATTTAGCGGAAACAAATACATATATATATATATATATATTATTATTTTTTTAATTTTTTTTTTATATATATAGTATTACAATCAATTAGAAAGTGTACGTAGAAACATCATAATACTACAAGCACACGCACACACTCGCATACACACGTACAAATGCAAATCAAATAAACATCATGCAACAATTAAACCAGGTATTCCTCTAGGGGATAAGGTGCAATTATAAACTGCGCCGTCGTCAATGCTGGCGTGCTTAAACGGTGCACCACTAGCGCGCATTTGTTTCAATTCATTAACCATTTTGCGTTCTACAGCCTTTCGGCACTCCATGAGCGACTTAACCTTACGTAGGTCGTTTGGAAGGCATTTGCCAATCCGTAACAACCTTGAATAATACTCTTCAAAGTGTCGAGTTGTTGACGAATAATCTGAAGGAAATGTCCGTCGAGCAAGTGTAATCACTAATTATAATTAGGATAATATGGAGATTAATTATTATCGGTTATTTTAGGTAATCATTTGTTTTGCTAGAAATCAACTAT